TTTTTTTTTTTTTTTTTTTTTTTTTTTTTTTTTTTTTTTTTTTTTTTTTTGGTGATAGAGCGAGGTTGGAAATGAATTTTGTCTCTATTTTGCCTCCTTTTAATTATTTATTAGTTCTTTTTTTTTTTTGTGATTTAATCTTCTATAAGAAATTATTATACATTAATTTTAAAAAATAAATTAACTATTTTTTTTGTTGAAATTTTATAGTCAAATACTTAATTTCTCAAGATAAACTTTGTATAAATTATTATTTTTCCACCGATAAAATTCTTAAACATCTAATAGAATTAATCAAATTACATGATTATTCATAATATAATTCTAATGTTGACCATATAATTTAAATATATAAAATTATCAAGTTATTAAACATTTAAATTTAAATTTAACGATAATAGTTGTAGTAGCAATGGTAATAACAATAGAATTAAATATTTACAAAAAAAAAAAACAAGAAAGAGATGGAACCGGGCTATTTGCAGCCTTACAAGAAAAAACACTCGATTTATGTAACTGATATTCACATATATTTCGGATCAATAAATTTATTGAACACAACTCAACCATTTAACTTCAAAATATAAAAATTGAATCTTATTTAGGATCGGTTCTATAAATGGTATATTTATGTCTTTGAGTTATACACCGTCAGTAATCGAGTAGCTGCAGCTGTTTGATGAATCGGAATCCTGCCAGTTGGTTCCACAACTTTTGGCTTCAAAGTCAAAGTGGGGAATGAAAAACGCAGTGTGTTTTCACTTGAAGGAGTGTTTGAAGCCAATTTGTTCATAAGGACTGCTTTTTAGACCAAAACTTTTACCCCACAGCTAATCAATTATGAGTTTGTCCTTTTCCCATGTTACAAAAAAAACAACGTCCAGATGCATTTTCTTTGTTAGGAGTTCAAAAAATTATCCCGAATAAGAATCATACACGTGAATTTGGTCATAGTTCAAAAAATATAAAAATAATTGCACCTTGTTTTAAGAAAGGGAAAAGAGTGCTTTTCGGGAACCATGAAGCTGAGTCGAAAGGAGAACTCAGTCCCGAGCAGGTTGAAACGTCGAGCCAAGGTGATAGATGACAACTCTTTGCTAACACAATTAACCCATTGTAGAATTCTAACCTCGACATCGGAGAGACGTTATAAATACGAGAGTCTACTTCTTCCATGAAAGGTAAGTAACTTAACATGTGCTTAAATCGACAATACTTTATGATCGAGACCACATAAAACATTAAAGCCCGTTAAGTAAAGCACCGTATCCGTGCAAGATCTCTTGTTTGACTAAATCTTTGCATCAAACCATTTTAAAACTCCCTTTTTTTCCCTTACATTTTTACTTGGCAATAATTTCTTGAGACATAGATGTGAACGAAAAATATGTTAAATGTTTAATATGATAAAAACCATTATTTTTATCTATTGTTGTATGTCTTTGACTATGACTCGAGAGAACTCTTTGTAACCCATTATTTTTTTTACGCATCTTCAGATGAAAGTTTTTCGCGTTAAAATTATTGGTTTCGGCATTAAAATTATTGAAATCTTATACTTAATTTTTATTGTTATTCACGGGAGAGAGACTTGAATATTACTTTTTTTAATTTAACATTTAACTTGCGTATATCAATATTTGAATGTATCGCCCACATGAACGTTCAAATCTTCATCTCCATGTTCGTTAAACTAAACAAGAAACGCTCGTTGAAGGAAGTTTACATATATTTAGCCTTCCAACTTATGTTGGTGTGTAGGAGCTAATGAAAAATAAGTAACTATGACTAAATTCTACACTTCTCTATCTCATAAATCTATCAAGGAGTTCCGTTCTAGAAATCTACCTTCCCTTTAAAAATGAAAGGGAATTGCTTAATAAGCTCATGCATCTTGCCTACCGAGGAACCTCATAGGCTTGCACTTGGCTACATAAATGAATTGGGAATGTTCAGTGTTAACTGGTGAAAAGATCATCTGAATCCCAGCCCGCCAAGCCAGTAGCGAGTTTGTGCGTCGATATCGAGCACGAGCATTATCAATCACGTTGGTCACTTCAATTTGGATGTTTAATCAATATGGAACAACGTACGGTAGAGCGCAGATAGCAACCGAGTCAATCAGCATTGCCTCTGCCCATACATACAGCGTCGTCGTTTCCATCTCGAACCCGTGTGCCTTCAGTTTCTTCAATTTGGAAGCATTGCTGCTATGCAGCAGCCAGCCTGCCAAACCAGTAGCGAATTTGTGTGTCGATATCGAGCACGAGCATTATCAATCATGTTGGTCACTTCAATTTGGATGTTTAATCAATATGGAACAACGTACGGTAGAGCGCAGATATCAACCGAGTCAATCGGCATTGCCTCAGCCCATACATACAGCGTCGTCGTTTCCATCTCGAACCCGTGTGCCTTCAGCTTCTTCAATTTGGAAGCATTGCTGCTATGCAGCAGCCAGTCTTGGTCACAAAACTCTGACAAGTCCTCCATTTTGGGAACTAAATACGCCTGGCTTAAATGCTCCAAATCTGGATGTGGTGGCTTTGAGTGTACCTTTGACAATTTGGATCAACTTGTTAATAATTCTGTTCAACTTGTGTTCTTTACCGTATGATTTAAGATCATAGGTATTGGCTGTTACCTGCCAATTTGAAGCAGCTGGTCCAGAAGATTGGCATGATTTTACCATCTTGTGGTTAACTCTAGGATGATCAGAGGAGGAAGTGAACCTTGCAGAGTTACTGGAAAAATGGTCCATGGCTGTTGAAAAAGTAACCAAAAAATCAACAGTGAGGTAAAAAAACTGCCCGATTAACAAAAAAAATTACAAATTTTCATGTCAATAACCATGGCTAGTAATGAACGATATAAACCAAATGAACCATATGAACGATGTGAACGATATGAACCATATGAACGATGTGAACGATGTGAATGATATGAACCATATGAACGATGTGAACGATATGAACGATATGAACGATGTGAACAATATGAACGATATGAACTAAATGAACGATATGAACGATGTGAACGATATAAACGATGTGAACAATATGAACGATATGAACTAAATGAACGATATGAACCATATGGACCAAATGAACGATATGAACCATATGAACTAAATGAACGATATGAGCCATATGAACCATATGAACGGTATGAACCATAAACGATATGAACAAATTATCTCAAATCTTCATGATTAGTAGTAATCTCAAGAGGAACAGTTGCTCTTTCTAACCTGCACAGTTTCAAGAGGAGAGATCGAATGGATCTAATTTTAACACAACATTTCAACTCACCAAAGATTCCATTGCCTTCAAAGTCCTTCCTCTTCACGAGATTTCGCATACTCGCAACAGATCGATGTCTGTCCCTGAGAAGTTGTGATGTTATTATCGAGTCAGCACTGGTATTGTCGTCTTCGTTGTAGCGTTCTTTTGTTTTTTCCAGGTTTCCAATCTTTTGTTCAAGTTTCTCCTTCTTTTTCTTCTTTTTATCTCTTTCTTTATCCTGCTTATCTTTGTCCTTGCTTTTTTCATCCCTCCCATTCCCTTTCCACTTCTTCCCTGAATCCACCCCATCTCTAACCATTGACTGAACAGTCCCCATCGTACTAAACTTCGACGAATCCTCTCGTATTCCTCGATCGCCATGTTTTTCCACACAACTTTCCTTATTCTCGTCCTTCGTCTTCCCTTCACCGAAACTCCGAGTGACCTTAGCCACTGATCTATCCATCAAATCATCTCTCTCTGGAAGACAAACAGACAACTTCTCCCACAAAAGGGTCCTAAATGCACTGTCACCGTCCTCGGTCCTCCCCGGCAACTTGGGCACAATTTTGAAGGCACTAAATTTATCAGGCAGGTGGCTACCATAACTAGACTCGCCTTCACTATAACCAGCTGACTGTCCAGCATGTTTCTTCCTGGTTAGCCTGCAGTTATCCTCGACCTCAAGATCTTTCTGGTCGAGGAACTGTCGATTGTGACAGTGGATTCTATCCGAAAGTTTTGACTCGTCCAAGGTTCTAGCTTTATCTTTAACTCTGTCTTTCTCCCTGTCTCTTTTATCTCCATTCCTGCTTTTTCCCTTTTCTTTGTGATCCCTCTTCTCCTTTTTCCTCTTCTTTTTATGCTTATCCTTTTTGTCAAAAGAATAAATCAATGAGCATAAAATAAGAACACACACAAAAACGAGCAACTGGCTACATATCAT